GCTTTCCCTTACCTCAATCAGAGCTGTGCCGTCACAAGTAAATGGTCTGAAGTCTCCTCGGACTGCCCACATACCCTAACTTGTGGTGTCCATTGTAGATCCTCAAGTAACGTCTGTGTATTCTTGAGAAAGCTATGACCCATATGCTTGTGATCTGTCCCAGATGCCTCCTGACTTATCTTAGAACATTGGTGGCAACTTCTATGGGCATCCAAATTTACAAATTGGACAAATAAAATCATGCTAACTTTCTCTTCCAATTTTCCAGGTTTGAGAACAAGCAGATGTTCTGCAGGCAAGGTTGCCGTTGTGAGCAGCAGTACAGACTGCACCGTCTGCTTGCTTACGATCCAAACAATGACTGCCGAGGGATCTTCTCCGATTGGTTCAAGTTTCCCTCGTGCTGCGTCTGCCGTTGTTATGACTTACCGAGCGAGCTGAGGCTGACTTCACGGAGTCCACGGTTCTCAAAGCTTGCAAAAGAAGACGACGAAGAAAGATAGTTTCTACTCAACCCTGGAGATTTCGAAATGTGATAATTGTTGGTGTGAATTTGCTTTGCCTAGTTTTAGTATTTAGCGGCTCATTTTGAAACACAATGTTCAGAAATGTACAAAAACCAACAATCTCAAGACTGACCATTTTGTAGATTTAAGTTTAATGTAATTGATTAAGTTTTTCAGTTGAAGGAATTTTATGAGTTTTTATATTGGATGTGATCACAAAAAACAGGAATGTTTAAGTGTTAAAGCAATAATAACCAACTTTAATTATATAATTATATGGTGTGTCCAATAATAATTTCTTTCTTAAGTGTTTTATTTCTTTTGTAAATTTTTATTCTTAAAATGAATAATTCTTTATCATTATCTTTTATAAATTGTACAGTTAGAAAGAGAGGGTATTGATTGATAGACACGCCCAAAAGGTAATAATAGTATGAATGAAAATTTTTATTACATTAGAAAACAAAACATTACATTTCATATGATTCAAAGTTTCTAACTGCTTTTCTTTTGAACTCGTTTGATAAACACTACAAAGAAAAATACATGACATTAATCATGTCCATTGTGAATTAATGATATTATATAAAAGACAAACTAAATTATAAACATCTTTGTAAATAAAATTTAGTTAGAAATTGCTGTAATATGTGTTGTAAATGTGTGTGTAGATATGTATGTTTTTATTTTTTGTAAAATATAATTGTTACAAATATTGACTGTATTTTTGATCCCTAATACCAAAGAGGATTGCACTTTTATAACTTTTAATTGAATACTCTACTTAACATAAAAATGTACTGCATGCTATTTACCAACGCAATTTTCTCAAAGTCAACCACCACTTTTCCTCCAATCCACTTCAAGGGCGATATTTATGCTCAACTGTAGCCAACCGTTCACATAACAGATCTTCCTAACCTGAAAAGCATCATGTCCGACCATTGTAGTTCTAAAAAATGTTTTTAAGTGTGGAACCGGTTTACTGCACCAGGGGCTTTCACACTATAACACCTAGCTATCTTTTTCTACAGAATTTTGGGTGTAGAATTGCCTTAAAGGTGAAACTAAAACAGTTTGACTTGTACAACTCTGTATTGATAGTTGATACAAAATGAAACACAATTAAATAAATGTATGTGCTACTACTACTTAATCAACCAATGGTTAGGATTTAAATAAATAAAATGTTTTACTGAAGTAAAAATGTTTTATTTCAAATATATTACATGATATGAGATCAAGTAATGTGTCAATGGGTTGCTTAAGCAAACTTTTTTCCAATTTTCACAGTTTTTGTAAAATCACAATTGATTATTCAGCCTATCAGCTTTGTTTGAATACACTGTACAGTTTTATTCAAATTTGTAAGCAAAATTTACATAATCTTATATGAACATGATTGGTTGTAAAATATTAATATGTTAAATATTCACAACAAAATACTGTTAACAGCTTGGCACTTATAATACACAAATGTATCAACATTACGATGGAACTTATCACATTTCACACAACTAGCTTAATAAATAAATATGTAAGTAGGCCTACTAAGTAGTCTATTATATCACAAAACAAAGAAATTAAGATAGGAGGGTAAAGAAGACATCACAGTTAACCCTCCGAGTGTCCCTTGTTTTGGCCTTAATGTCTGCCTATTTTTTGCTCATTTGCAAGGTTTTATTAAAACGGATCTGAGAAGCTTGAAAACAATGTTAATTATACTGTTCTATATACAGTACCATTTTGTTTGGAAAATCATGGGCTTCAATATTATATATAAAACATAAGAAACATTTGTTTCAAAAAATTTTTTAGGTAAAAAAAATATTTTGGAAAATTTTCAAAAACAAAATAAGTTCGCACTCAATGAAATTGTATAAATTATAGGCCTATAAATATTTGAAAATAGCCACTTTCTTCTAAATTTTATGAGGATTACAAATATATAATAATATAAGGAAGTAGATTTGCAAATAAATAAGTTATGGGCAAAAAACAGATTTCAGTACATGGCGTTTAGCTAAGAATGCATAGCCTAACCATAGCTAGGAATCTGGCTGATAATTTACATCAATATCACTACCTACTTCTTCAGGATCATCAACCAGCCCTTCAAAATCACTTAAATCTTCTTATAATGCACCACGTATATCACTACTTTTGATTTTTAACACTAAAACAATAAAAAACGTAATAAAACACATCAGTCATCGGTGCGAGGTTAACCAAGCTGTTTACAAATACGCCTTGTCAGCTGTCTGCTACAATATTTTCGGAACTAAAATGAAAAGCGCTTAGAGACAGACCTCCGGAGAAATCTCCGAATCTATCAAATAAAACGATACCTAACTCGATCCAGTTCAATCCGATTTTGTCAGTCATAGAGCCTTCGCCGTAAACAGTGTTATGTGCCGATGCATCGACAAATAACACTCGGAGGGTTAAAAATCAAGCATATCGAAATCACAAATAAAAATATGTTAAATTAAGTTTAAATTGTAACCTAACTGAGCGTATCCGAGGATTCGTGGATAAACATTAAAAAAGATAGTTGTGACTAGGACATAATACAAACAGCTTTAAATACTTTATTTACTACACATATTTTGCTTTAAGAATTAGTGCACAAAGATAAGATTAGGCCGTCCATAACAGACTGGAGCAAATTAAAAAATCTTATTTCATCGCAACTCACTACATTAGGCTACTTAGCGACTTTGCCACCGCGACTTTTTTTCTCGTGGTCTGGTAGCTGGAGGTTATTACCCCAATTAGCTCTAATTTTTTTAAAAAGTAACCTAAAAATCTGTTTCATACAATTCTGCGTCTTGTTTACAATCTGACTGAGGTTAAACATTCAACTGAAGAGCTGTTAAAATACAATTCACATTTCAACCGTTAACCGTTATACAGAAAGTTGGTCATCATCACTGGTCCTTTAAAGGGAACTCTAGAAATAAATGGAAGGGAGGCAAAGCCCTAAAGGAAATTATCATTTTTGTTACCATTCTCACCAACATGATCATAAGCTTTAAAATCGTAAAAATCAGCTAAGTAGGACGGCTTCAAGGGACAGACAACCCGTTTATTGTATTAAGTATAATATATTAGATGAATAAAACTACTAATAATTTATAATAAATTAAATTTGACTATGGTAGATTTATACCATGAAGTGATTTAGCTACCTCAATTAGGTCATCAAAAAAAGTAGCCTAGGCACACAATTTTTTTTCAGCTGCGGTTTGTTGATACGGACAAACTGAGAACATTTTATTGGCTGTCATGGCGTGACATCACTCTTTTCTCTTGAGGGTTGAGACATCACTCTTTGTTGTGTTTGTTGACTCAGTTAGATTTAAATAATCTATATTTTTAACAATAGTTATCTATATATATCAATTATAAAAGTAAGTAACCAAACTTGCTGATAATGAAAAAGTTGAATGAAGGTTTACTAATAAAAAAAATAGTTCTGTTCATAAAATAAAATTAGAAATAACTCAAATTCAACCAAAAGATGTACAGTTAAGAAGGAATCACATTCTAAGCAAAATCTTTGAAGAAAAAGTGAGTGTTACCGGTGGAATTCGATCTTGTTACCTCTTGTATATCAGCCGAGTACTCTATCCACTACACCACGAACACCAATGTCTGCACTTTGTATCGTTGCGGTAATGGTGTTCCCTCAAGAAAAGAGAGTGACGTCACGCCATGACAGCCAATAGAATTTAGAATTCTCTCAATTCGTCCGTATCGAAAACCCGCAGCTGAAATAAAAATTCTGCAGTCTAGACTATTCAAAGTCCATGTTCATAAACTGTTGTCTTTACTTTGGTTGAATATTCAACTAAAGGATCAGCTGTTATTAAATTACAATTAAGATTTAACCCCGTTATAAAGAAAGTTAGTCAGCATCATTGAGCCATTGAAAGTGAAGTCTTTAACACTAAGGGGAGGAAGCCCTAAATTAAATTACATTTTAAGTGACAGTGTTTAAATGTTCTTGTACAAGATCTGATGATGAAGACCTAGTCTTTGAAACGCATAATCCGTAAGGAACAAACAGGATCACTCTGGCAGTACTCAGGTAATTTTATACCTTTTATATTACATTTTAGTTACAATTTGTACCTCCAATAAATAAAACGCTTAAAAAACACCTAAATTGTAAAAATTGGTTTAGGACGGCAAAAAAAGGATGTGACAGAAAACGAGAGAATATGTATAACAACTTTGAACATCTTCAATACTTATTTTTGCTTAGAAAAAACATGTTATTCATAATATTTATTTTGGTTTTAACAGCCAAAATGGTTTTTTAAGAGTCAATTAAACCAATATAAAAGAGAAGGAGCACAGTAAAAGCCTGTTAAATCAACTTCTTAGGTTAAAACACAAATACTAGAAAATACCCGGTATGGATCATTAACATAAACAAATTACATTTTTGGCCCGAAATTAAACAAAACCTTATGTTAAATAATGCTATTAGTATAGGGGTTTTGTTTACTTTCGGGCCAAAAACGTCATTTGTTTATGTTTATGATCCAAACCGGTATTTTTCTAGTATTCGTGGGTTCAAATCAAACGTTTTAATTCATAAATATTTCAAGCAAGCTAAATTAACTTCTTAAGTTCAAAATAAAAGTTTAAATTTATAAATATTTCAATCACGCACCTAACTAGCGAGTAATACTGTTGTTAAATAATCAAATAAAACGTTTAACATTACCAATTTTTCCAGACTTTTAGTCTCATTTTCACTACTTTCGCTTCGGACCTAGAGGAATGAAATGATTTGAAAGTAGTTTAGCTCTTTGTCCTTCTCTGTGGTAGAAGTTGAGAACGTCCTTGTCCGCCCAGACTTGTTTCGGATCAAAGTTGATGATACGGAGAGACTCGAGACTCTTGGCCCGAGACAGAGCGACGTACGCTTGACCCGCCTCAAACACCTTGGACAAGGAGATCTCCACACAGTCCAGCGTCAGGCCCTAGCACAATGAACCATTAGTGATAGTCTGATCCAACAGTTAAAACTTAATTCCAAAACCAAAATGTTGCTTTGGATTCTCTGTGAGGTACCAATTGTAAGAGGGTAAAAATCTACCTTGGGTTAACACTGAGATTAAACATAAATATCCGTAAACTTAGGATCTTAAAATCCATGTTTTAGCCCCTGAGCAGTAACGTAACTATAAATAAACTTCACCTTCGTCAATCCAGCTCAAATGGTGCAAATGGTTTCGGCATCACAACGCCATCGTCAGCCACGAAATCTCGGCTAAAGCAGCGTTGTGGGAAGTCATGTGTTTTGTACAACACACACAAACATTAAAACAAATAAAATTTACAAATACAAACAGCTCAAAACAGAAAATGTCAACCATTACAGTTTGTACGACAGGCCTGTTCGTTTTTGTAAATATTATTTGTTTGTTTAAATGTTTATGTGTTTTGTTGATCCTAAGCCGAAACGGCCGTAACCAAGGCAGTTGCACCATTTGAGCTGGATTGACGAAGGTAAAGCCTATTTATGCTTAGGATCTAACACAATTGAAGTATAAACACACATTTATAGTGACGTATTCAAAGGGTCAAGAAATTTATGAGTGGCATGAGTAAATGATAGAACCATTCCAATGTCATATAAAGGGAAAATACTAAATTAAAACTTTTGTGTAATATGTAGCTTAATAATCTTAAATACCCGGGTGCTTATAAAAAATGCAGTTATAAATACCCGGGTAGTTTTAAATCTCTACATTTATACACTGTTTATTTATTTAGAATAACATTCCATTACAAATCAACCGTATTACTCTTCAATTTGACACAGTTGACACCAATAATGACAAAAGAAAATATTCTACATCAACACCAACGTAAGATAACCCAGAAGTAGTGTTTGTTTACGGACAAGGGCCTTGACCTTTAGTGTACTAGCAGCTAATTTATTTTTAATTTGATGTCCAATGTTATTTTTATTGTTGTATTTGTTTTCTTAGTTTCTTGAATGAAGGTAGTTGTACATTTTATTGTTAAATATTATTCGGCACTGCTACAGTTAGACCAACAGATGAGTTTCCGATCAGCTCAGTCGGCTGGTATGTAAATTTGCCATAAAGAGCGTACACTTCAACCGAGCTGGGGAAATGGGAGGACAAAATTAACATTGTTTCTACGCTTATCCGAAAGTAGCTATAATAGTTTTTCTTTTCCTATATTTCATAATTTCATATATTTCGACTACCTCACATACTCCCAATCTACCAGCGGTAAGTCTTGCTAGTGTTCTGATTTGAGTAATTCTGAATAGAAGCAATATGAATTAATTTCAGTTCTGTGAAAAGAAATTTTTTGTTGTATAGTCAATGGTAATATTAAACAAGCTTAGGCCCTAAAAGGCTCTAGGAATTTTCATTTTTCATCCGCCCTCCCATTTTCTTTTGATCCTTTTTTATTGATACCTAGTTACAGATAAGTTATAGAGCAAATCAAAACAACATAGAAGGAAGTTGTTTTCAAATTCATTATAGAGTCCTAAGAAATTTGTGGAAAAAATTAATGGAAAAGTTAAAAATTAGTTATGACTCATTCATAAATAGACAAAATAATAGTAATCCATTCTTTTCTAAATGTTAAGAAACATTAAATTAAATCAAGTTTTTTATAAGTGGAAAAAAAACAACCATACTGTCCAAGAAAAAAATAACAACCAAATCATTGACAAAATGATTTGAATCTTTTGACTCGTATCTAAGATTTGATAAACACGTTGAATTGATTATTAATCAGTCGTATAGAATGTTAGGTTTTATAATTAGAAATACCAAGAATTTCAGAACTATTGACCCCGATATTAGTGTTTTACTCATTTGTTAGAAGTAAGCTGGAATATTGTGTTTTAGTTTGGTTTCCTTTCAACTCATACCACAAAAATGCAATAGAAATTCTCCAAAATAAATTTCTACGATACTTGTTTTTAAAAAGGTATAATCAGAGATGTGACTGGCATATGTCAACTGATTCATTGAGAGGATTGTTTTATTTCCAAAGCCTTACATTAAGAAGGGAAGTTTTAGCATTGATTTTTCTGTATAGAATCCTAAATAACAAAGTCGATAGTTTGTTTTTGTTGAGTAAGATTGCTTTTTATGTTCCTTGTAATAATTCAAGGTCGTCAATTTTATTTTATATCCCTCGTTGTAACACTGTTCAATTTTACAGTTTTTCACTTTTTACAGGATTACGTTTATTAAATGTCCACAAAAGTAAAATAGATGTTTTTTGTTTTTTCTGACACTATTAAGCAGTTTAAATTTAAGATAAACGCTTTGCTTACGTAATGTAATCCATCCCTTTAGATTTGCAGCCAAAATAAGTGAAATTTTCAACAACGTTCTCCATTTTTATTAACTTGTATTCACTCTTTTTACTATTATCATCACTGGTTTTGTATTGTCTATTTATGTGCACTTTTTTTTTTTTTTTTTTTTTCTTCACTTTATGTATTAATATTGTATTATTTGCCATTATAGCTGTTTTGGGGTTATACCTGTAGCTATTGTAAATTTTGTATAAATAAATAAATAAAAATAAGGGAGTGCGCAAGTTTACCTGTGACTTGTGGATAGAGAACGCCCACGCAAGTTTCAGGGGAATCTGTTTCCGAGCGTAGTGGGTTCCACTCGCTGACTTAGCAACCCATTTGTCCCTCGGCACTGTGCATTCCAAGCCTGACATGAACCGCACCACTGGCAAGCCTGTACATAGAAAAAATGTGGACAAAAGTTAATTTAAGATCGTCTATAACTGGCGTATTTTAAGTAGATTATTTCTTTCAAGGCTTCAGTCCCTAAGATCCCGGGTTAAAACTTACCAATCTCCAATGGATTTTATACGATAATGCTGCAACCCGCTAGGCCTTGTTTAAAGTAATGAGAAAACGGTAACAGGCTAGAACCTAACGTCTTTGGCTATTGATACAACTAGACATTCCATCCCTATGTTTAAGTTCTCGCCAATTATTTAACCAAAACTATCGTAGTTAATGTGAGCTATCGATAGATTGTGCTGATCTAAATTACTAATTTCTATCAAACACACAAACTTTTCTACCAAGTCAAACTAAGGGAATGACTTATTGTGAGCTATAGCAACTGTTATGGCCCATCAACTATGTCAGCAACAAAAGTAAGGTAAAAAATTTCATTTTAGACAATAGCGCGTACTGTGACTGGCTCGCACAACTATGTTCTTTTTTAGGAAAAAATTGGCAACAGCCGGGCCATATAGGATGTCTACTTCGGTATCCAATAGTCAATGGAAGCATCCTAGGATGTGAAGAAGGTGAAACAAAAATAAATAAGACTTAGTAAAAATTGTTTATTACAATGAATGGATTTGTTTTTATTAACGTTTCCTTAACACTCACCGTCTTTGGAGAACTTTGTTATAACACCTCGTGCTCCGTTAACCAGGCCTCGAGCTACGCTGATATTCTTGAGTAGCATCACCTGTCAACAGAGATTTATTTATGTATTTTGTACATGAAAATCGAAAAATAATTATAATTTTAAACAATTTAGGTGGATATGGTTCTGTCAGGGTTCTTAAGGATTGTTTTTATGTATAGGTTTAACAGCATGCTTACCCTACTGAAGAAAAATTATGAAAATTTAAAAATATCATAGAAACACTAAACTTTTAGAGCTACTAAGCCTGCCTTTTTCTTCAGTCATTCTTCTTGTATGGTGTTTCCTACAAATACAATGCAGCGAACCTGAACTTGGAAATGGAAAACCGAGCAAAAAATAGCAGCTGTTCAAAGATTTCTTGAAATTGGCAATTTTTTCACCTTATTGGTAAAATTTTTAAATTCAATAAATCTTTGAACAGCTATTATTTTTGACTTGGTGTCCATTTTGATTTGTGTCATTGTAATCAACTAATAAAGACCAATAACTTTATGTGCATATCAACCTATGCTTACATTTAAGATTTTCTTCTGTCTCCTAGTGAGCCGTCTCCATAAGGATATAGCGTATAACTGAATAATGTGTTCAAATGATATTTATAACTAACTTTAGTAACTTTGTTCCAAGCATTGTACCTCTATCAATGTTATTTTCTTATCCGCCCTGGGACTTTTTTCCACTCTGTATACAAATTTCAATTTGATAACTGGTAAACAGCAAGAGCCAATGACTTTGGCGCTTGACTTTCAAGAGAGAAGTCTTGCGCTCTCACAGCTTTGAGCTTACTGACGTACATCCGAGTCCTTGTCTGGAAAACAATATATTCTTCAGAACTCACCTGAGCTCCAACTTTGAGCACCAACACTGCTTCCACGGGTGTCTGGTCGTCCAACAGTTTACGAGCAGTTGCACAGCTATCTTCTGCTTCAAACCTTCTCTCCTCACCTAAAGAGAAGTGACAACGTACGTTAGTGATCTTGTATTCAAAAAGAGTGTTTATATAGTCAGTGAAGTATTTCAACACATTCACTAATATTTTTTTTACACCAGTGGCATTTCACAAGAGTTACGAGAGATTAAATGTTTAGTTAATGAGTTATAAAAGCAAAATATTCATGTCAATAGTCATTTATTCAGTCTTTGAACAATACAGTATTGTAATTGACAACTTCATTATTATTGTAAAAAGATATAAGATGCGATAATTATATAGCCTAATTAATAAAATTAGACATGAACAAAAAATCCAAAATATACGAAAAAACTATATGGTGGGTCCAGTCTGATAGGGAACTTTTTAAAGTTCAGAAATCTGAATAAAGAATTAAGCTCTTTCATATTAAAAGATCAACACTAAAGGAAAAATATAACTTATAACTAGTGTGTATTAAACATATAAATTGCCAATCTGTAAAATAAAATAAAATACCAAGAGTAGGGGGTAGACGTTAATGTCCAAAATCAAGATCATTAAATCATCAGTTCTTACCAAAAGAGTAAAAATTTCCAATGATAAGAAAAAAAAACACAAAAAACACTATATTTTGATTAGTGTAATCACATCCATTAAAATGGATAATAACATAGGTACTACGGTGAAAAGACATAATCATAGATAGCCTTATTTTGACATTAAAAAAAGTTTGAACCGAGTGACTCTTTGAAGCAGGGTTTCACTGCACCTAAAATACAAATGAAATATAGCCAATTACGTTGACTAACAATGATGACAACAGTTTGACAAATACACAACAGGTAATGCTTACAATACCTATACAATAGGTGTAGGTACCTGGGAGCCTGTTAAGCTCTGCGTTGTTGATGGACGTAGCCTCTTGATTATGACTACATAGTTTTGTGGCTACAATGTTGTCCTTGGTGATCGTCTGTGATGCTGTCCGTAACAGTTCTTGTGTCATCTCCTCTGTCACCCTGCACAGACAAGTGATAGATTTAAAAAAAATTATTTGGATAGCTCTAAAATTACTTGTAGAATTTCTAGATTTTTGCCACTTGAAGTTTTGATTGAGTTACAAAACATACTCTCTGCATAGACACATGACACTGGAGCACAGTCAAACCTCTATAAGAGGAATTTCAGGGGGTAGGATAAAAATTTGTATCATCAAGGTATTCTTCATTATAGTCTTCGTTTTATTGAGGTTTAATACTGCCGTTATTCATCTTATAGAGGTTTCTCCTCGCTCTGAGATAACCTCTATAGGCCTACAATGACTGAGGAAGGAAGAGGGATGGGTGGGAAGGAGGATGTTGAGACAAGCTTCTGTATGTTTTGAAAACTACGTACTATGGAGGTTAAGATCATGAGAAATTCGTCTTGTAGAGGTTTTGTGCTAAGAATATTCGTTGTATAGAGGTTAATCAGTCCTAGCCCGTGTCACAAACAAATTTGTCCTATGGAGGTTTTTAACCTAATTACTACGTTGCATAGAGGTGTTTTTAGCATTAATTAACCTTTATGAAAGTTTTAAGGGGATTTAATAAATTTCTTCTTATCGAGGAATTAGTTTTACCGAGGTTCGACTGTAATTAATACATAGTAAAAAGAATCAGTGAACTTTTTCTGTTTCTTTGAATATTCATACAAAATACACCATTGGCGTTATTTTTAAAGTTTTTTTCAGTTTTTTGTAAGAGAACGCTCTCAACCATAGTCTAGATGCTGTGTAATATCGACCTTTTCTTCGACAGCATCGTTAATTGATTGTCCTGATTAAATATTTTACAATATTAAGTGTATTACTCACCTCCCCAATCTGATATTGTTGAGTATATCGATGAACTTTGTGTCGTTCTGCCGATGAACTTTGGCTAGATTGTACACTTGAAATTCACACTGCTTCCAAACTGGATATTGGAAACAGAACTTTGGTCGCTGGGAGTCGCGGACGACCGGAGGAAGTTGAAGAAAGTCCCCGCAAACAATCAACTGGATCCCCCCAAAGGGTTTGTCAACACCTTTAATAATCCTGGCTACCTTCTCAACTTTCTGTGGGAAAGACAATGTGAACATTAAACCACAAGGAAATTATAGTTCTGGAGAAAATATATGTGTAGAAAATAAATTAGCTACAGCAATGTTTTGGATTCAAGGATTGCTATTGAGCACTTAAACATAACTAGCTGTACCCGTGCTTCGCAATGGAAAGAAACTTCAGTTTAGAAGTTCAGGTGTCCCCTTAATATCATAGCATATCTTGATAGTTAAAAATATCTCATAAATGTTAGCCTTTCAATGATTACATTTAATTTAATCTTAAATTATATAACCATGCAGAACCTGTGTTGATACAGCATCGGTTGTGTAAAATAGTATATTTAATTTGCTTGGATCAGCTGTCTGAATTGTGAAATAAGCATTTGGCAGTTCTGCTTGTTTACATTGAAATGTCAATGCAAAGGTAAACAGTGTGATATTACTCCTCGTCCAGCCATGGAGACGAATCAATATTTACTATAAGTCATATTTATTTATTTATATATGTCATATAAAGAGAAAAGAAGAAGATTCTTTGCTAAGAATGGTGTCTAAAAATCTCCCTCGGGGAAGATGACCTCGGCTAAGATGGACCAGGTGTGAAGAGACAAAGTAAAGCTAAGAGCAGAGACAGAATGGATGGAAGACAGAGAAAGGTGGTGACAAGTTGTTGGTGAGGCCAAAAACCTACTGAGGTTTGAGTGGCCACATAGGTAAGGTAAGAAACTGAACAAATAATTGATTTTAATTTTACTTTACCTAATACAACACCTACCTCAAAGTATTTCCCGTCTACCATGGATATTTCGTCGATTATGAGGTGTTTACACCGCTTCCAGTTAGACAAGACTTGAGGTCTTTGAGCCAGCTGTACACTGCGATCCAATGAAGATTCACCATCTCCAATACCTGAAATGCAGTTGAAACTGTCAAATTTGACTACAAGTTAAGTAGCTATTACATCCCTGAGTAGTAAGGGAATAAGTTATGCTGCCATAGTTAGTCCAACTAGAGATCACTTTCAATAATGCACTGTTTGATAACTAACAACATGAATACAAAACTCTTTAATAAGCAAAATGCTTATGGAGAATAGTCAGACTGGAATTTTGCCGTTGAAATGAGTTTCGAGCGGACGCCGTTAGGATCGCTCCTGCGGCAGTCGTGCTACTCTATCTATATCTTTCTCTCTCTAAGCCGATTCTTTGTCTCACTAGGTTAGCTGACTTGGCTGGGCGCTCACGATAGTCTACCTAGAGGTTACCACGGGAACTATCTGAAATTCAAATATTCCCAGACTGTATTTTTAACAAAGGTATTGCGCTTCTTAAGGGGTTTTGTATTCATTGTTTAACAACCCTCTTAACCAACAACTGTTAGTTGTAGTTGTGTCTGCATGTATCGACACACTGGGTTAAAACTAAATTATGTGAAAATAGTCTACCAAGATAAAAAAACGTCCACTGACTGACCTTCTATGTGGTTATAATTTTTTATCATCATAACTATAACATTATTTTGATTATAATGTGACACAGTATAAACTGACTTAATGTTTGAACATTTCTAGAAAAAAAAAAAAAATACTCTAAAGGAAAAGTTTATTTTGTTAAATTTTATTAATTCTCAATTGGGAAAAATAGAACTGCAAGTGAAAACAATGAAAGCTAAATGTGAAATATTGTTAAGAGGTAATATATTACATCTTTTAGGTCCAGTTAATTTTTAATTGATTTCATTAGAACTAGAAGTCAATTGAAAAAGCGTTCTTTTTTTGTCTTGACAAGTATATTTTGTACATTATGTTAACCTTATCTACCTTGGCCACATACATTAATGTAATAATTGGAGTACCTAGCGATGATTAAACGGCACAAAATGGTTAATTTGGGAACAGTAATAACTGATAAGTTTAGTTACCAGCAAACGAGTGTAGAGTGGTGCCGTTGATGAGACAAGCCGCTGCTCCGGTGCTGGCCGTTGCCACAGTTTTGTCTGGTACCAGAGCTCCGATTATGTGCCGCAGCAGGAATGACTTGCCTGTACCAGCACTGCCTGGACAACAAGTCAGTCAAATTACAAACCATACAACAGGGGTGAAGTCTTGTCAATAGGGAAAACTCTCAAATAAAAGAGACACATAGAAAAATCCAATTTAAAATAAGTGAGAATGTAATAAATTCTCTGACTGCTTATATTTACGCTGTTTGTTATGCTGTTCTCGGTTGCATACCTTCTAAACTTGATCAGTCTCTGAGATCAATAAATCTGATTTATTTTGGTTCAGTGGCTTTTATCTTCTGAGGCGGAGCCACAGTGGTGACCTAGCGTGTTTATTTTTATTTTTTATTTTATATATATAAGGGAGAGGATGGAAAATGCTTCTACGCACACAGGTAGCCAGCCTGTAGTGTGCGACTCGTGAATCTATCACAAACTACTCACTAAAAAAAACCCTCTACTCTGTTGGACACAGACCTGGAATTGTTTGTCACATTACTTCAAGTCAGGCCAAGTTTTTGGCATTTAGATACTTTATGACCTACACCGCGTCCCGGTCAAGGTCGAGCTTCTTGAAGCGGTGACCTAGTGTGCAGTGTGCCTTATATTTAACATTGTTCGCTAGCTACCCTACCTGTAAAGAATATATTTTTCCCTCTCATTACAGCATCAACAACTCTTTGCTGTTCGTCCGTAAGTTTCTCAGTCAGCAATGATTCAACACATCGCTTTTTGGCAGCCTGCAAAAAATAAATTTGCTTGTAAAGAAAAAAAAGAAAAGAAACTCTGACTTAGACTCTCATATATTTAAATGTTATATTTAAATATATTTGCTCCTTGCAATGCTCTCAAATGAATTCTTTACAAATTTTGGTTGCCCCTGGGTTGGAAGAACTCTAGAAAATAAAAATATCAGACAGAGCTTTTGGCAGTGGAAGCTTGATGTAATTGAAAAATATGAGTGGACCCTGCAAAATATAAATATTCCCCAAAGGTCCTTAGGGGACGCCCCTGGCACTGTTTGTAGTTCTTCCAAAAAAGTAATACCTTTAATGAGATCAATTTACCAGTCTTAATTCTACACTGAATTTACTTGCTCACTACTACACTAGTGACTAGTGTTGCACTTAAAAGGTGAATCTTTTGTAGTGGCTTATGATTTACTGAATTACCTTTTGTTTATCAATTAAATACTATTGCATATACTAAAATACCAAGGTTATTGAGAACTAAAAGTGAGTAACAATTTGAATTTATTGCACAGAATTTAATAAATACACTTGTTTCAGTTTACAGTCGTTGTTGTGTTCTTTCAAATAAAAATGACCTTGAGATACACAATCAGTTGGAAATTTTTTGAAACTGTTGAATGGATTTATCAAAGGGGAGGTATGGTGCGGTTTCACACCGATCTCGAAAGTATCAATGGAAGAGTGGTATTTAATCTAATAGTTGAGATGACCTGTACCAAGCAAATCCTTTCGTTGGCCAACGATTAAAAACGAAGGTCGTCTCGCAGTCCAACTGATTGAACAATATTGTATTCAATCGTAGTAATGTTTATCAGAATGTTGCTTTATTATTTTATGGCTAATTTGGTACTTTGGTGGTTCATCTATGTTCAAACTGGCACAACCTCCAACAACACTTCCGCATCAATCGAACCAGCTACCTGCTCCCTCCTCTGATAATAATTTATTTCCCCCAAAAGATACTGACTGTGACACTCTTTAAAGGAATTGTACCATTTGCTCAACAATGAAAACTAACAATGACTCTGTGTAAAAATTCCAACACTATAAAAATCTTATTAAATAACTCTGAATTGCCCTATAAAAACATTTTCACCTATTTATTCTTAATACTATAGGATTATTACAATCTAATTAATAAAGCGGATTGCTACAATATGAATGGATATGAAAATCAGTGATTTGGATTCGAACCTGTGAACATGTGCTTATTCTACATGAAATGACAAAACAAGACAGGAAAAATTTACAAAAGTGCGACTCACTGAAATCTTAAATTAACAAATAAATAACACAAATTACTTACAGTTTGGACGTCCACAAATATAACACAAATAAAGGGGAAGGGATTGGGAAATGTAACTAGCCGGTATTCTACAAGACGCGATGAATTGAACTCGTGAAACGAACGTGTAATTTTCAAATGGCGGAACTGCGTTGGCCGGTAACGAACTTTTTCACTTTTTGACAATGACACTGATTCTAATTTCCAATCGCGGGGCAATTATATCCCTTAGGGATATAGGCTGTACGACTTTAAGGAAATTTAAGATTGCCCGACCAAACGCCGCGAGATGAATTTAATTTCCACGAACGAAAAACAATTTTACCGAACTAGTTACGATGAGATTTGGATAGGAACTGGCAACTCGTGGGAGCAAATGACCACCCGGCTAGACTTCTCCCCTCTCCTGCTTTAGTGCTCTGCATTCTGGTCTATACTGATCTATTGTTTAAACCAGCTGACTGTTCTTCGCGTTACCCTGTATTGATTTGTTGCCTTTTTACAACAAAATCGGTACATGCTCTACATTTCTTGTACACAACATTTAAATAAACGATATGACTATGGCACTGTAGCTCTTTTTAATCAATGTTTCTTCTGTTTTTTGCAATTGGAACCTACCTTACTTAACAACTAACCTTAAAACCCTTTTGCTTTAGTTACCAGATAAATAAGTAATATCCTATAAAAATGTAATATCCTTTATTGTAATAGGTAATCAAGAGCTTCAATCAACGTGGCAATTGTGAAGCCATATGCCATTTACATTATTAAGTTAACAAGACCACAGTTCGAACGAATCCTTAAAAAAATTTAAGATGCTAGTGGCATCAAAACACGGACAAAATAAAATGATCCCCTTTAAAAAAGTTTAACTTTAGCTCCAGACAACAAAATTCTGTATTCTATTGTTCATAAAAATGGTATAGCTCTAGTTCTAGGTACAAGACAATAAGTTCACTAGTTTTAGTTTATTTTTTCATAGACTACTAATAGAAAAAATTGTCTAAAATTAAAGTAAATGGTTAATAGTTGAAAGGAACTTACCTGAACATTACTAGTACTATGTTTACTTTTTTGTTTAGAAGCACGTTTGACATCTACTTGAGTACCAACTGTAGTTTTGACTCTTGTAACATCTTTAGCGTTTATAGGGCTAATTTCTTCAACGTTTCTGCCTTTACTTGTCAACAATTGTTCTCGTAGAGGAACTTTAGGTGAACATTTGAAACTGCTCATCTTGACAAATAATGTTTTCAGAAATACTAATAACTGAGAAGCTGGTGCATTAGATATATATACTTTAGCAGGATGTAACTGGAAATGTATCGTAGCTTTACCTTCCGAAACAAATTTTTTATGAACACTTATATTTTGAAGCAGGAATCTAAGGCTAGAATCAGAAGCTCTAACATCGAGATAGATTTCTCTAAATTCATTGCGAACTAAGGTCAAAGTAGATGTTCTCCATTTGGCAGTTCTTGTAACTGATTGTTGCTGATTCAAATATTCAATTGTCAAACCACATGTAATTGTGCCTGCTTCAGCCATGTTGTTGATCTTTTATTCACTTTTCTTCAAGTGTTTATAGTACCGAAAACTATGCTGTTTCTTTAGAGTTGAACCTAGGGAGAATACAAACATTATTATTGTTAAGCCTACGGTATAACTTAAGTTACCGGTAGGTCAAACTTTTCCATTTAAAAAAATAATGGTAGGCCTATTAGTGTAAAAAAATATTCTTTCATAATGCTCTTACTCTAAGAATATTGTGAGAAAAACGTAATATAGCCTAATGTCAAACACCATCAACCAAGTAAGTTAGTGTCATACTCTTTTAAATTTTTGTTCACTTTATTTCTACAGTACCTAGGCTATACAATTTTTTTTATCTTTCTAGATAACTTAGGCCTAGTAATGTTTGCTGCATTATTTATAAGAAAACAAAACACAATGCAATATACTGATTACAGGGTGTTTTTTTTTTAAACTTGCATCTTTATTTATGTAAAAACCGCAATAGATAGAAATATGCAGTTGGCGGGAATCATCTATTGACGTAGTAGGCACAATTTTTTTGAATTCGACGTTACATTCACATTCCCCCCCTGCCACCAACCTAATTTTTTTTAGCAAGGTACCCCTTGTGACATATCAAATAAAAGAGCATGAAAAAAGAAAATGTTTGATGAAAAAAAATTGAAAATCGGTTCATAAATTTGTGAGATATTCCCCCCCTCCTTCCCCGGAACTTAATTTTTTTAATAGCAAGGTACCCCTTGTGACATATCAAATGAAAGAGCATAAAAAAAGAAAATTTTTGGTGAAAAAAATTTAAAATCGGGTAATGAATTTGTGAGATAATCCCCCCCCCCCTTTCCCCTACCCATAACTTGTTTTTTAATAGCAAGGTACCCGCCCTTGTGACATATCAAATAAAAAATAAATTTCACCAAACATTTTCTTTTTTCATGCTCTTTCATTTGATATGTCACAAGGGGTACCTTGCTATTAAAAAAAAATAAGTTCCGGGGAGGGGGAGGGGGAAATATCTCGCAAATTTATGAACCGATTTTCAATTTTTTTTCATCAAAACTTTTCTTTTTTCATGCTCTTTCATTTGATATGTCACAAGGGGTACCTTGCTATTTAAAAAAATTAAGTTAGGGGCAGGGGGGAAAGGGGGGGAATGTAAATGTAACGTTGAATTTTAAACAATTGGGCCCCCTTCGTCAATTGATGATTCCCGCAAACTGCATATTTCTATCTATTGCGGTTCTTACATAAATAAAGATGCAAGTTTTTAAAAAAATACACCCTGTATATTTGACGGGAAATAAAATGATTTCATTTAATACCGCTAACTTAATTAAGTGGGTAGCCTACTATGGTATAATTCGAAGGCCACCCTTGTACAGCGCGCTGCGGCGGTTATGTTAGGTTGGGTTATCATCAGTTATCATAAATATGTTTGTAGGACTTTCCTCGTTTTGTTATGAATCAAACGATACTAGATGAGGCATACTTTCGCACGCCAAATCCCATCCTAGTAGGCCAAGGTCAGGTTGTTGACCGGAGCGTGCGCATCACTTGTCACCGCCTGTATCTGGGGTATTTTGCGGGCAAAAGTATGACTCATCAGGTATCGTTTGGTTCATAACGAAACGAGGAATGTCCTACAAACATAATTATGATAACCCAGCCTAACATAACCGCCCCAGCGCGCTGTATACCTACTTGGCGGAGTATAGCGGGAACTCAGTCCTCGCCGACATCGCTGCCTTCTGGGAGGCAGAACTCAAAGGCCGATAAGTTAGGCCTAATCGTAAATTAGGTAATCATGTCAAATTTGGACAGTTAGTCAATAAAAGTATGTTCTTTCTAATTTAATTAGGCCTATGTAGTTAGTTTTGGTCTCTGGTACTTAAAAAAAATCTCTCTAAAATCAGTGGCCTCCAGATAATACCAAAGTACTTTTAAGCTACCCTAACCAAATTATCAATAGCAAACACTCGTTGATGAATGAGGTCTTTAGCTCAACGTAGGGTGTCTTTAAAAATAGGCCTAAGTTAATGCAGTAACTTACTGCATTGGTTTGGATTAAGGTTTTAAGAGCATCGATAGTCAATGTTTTTAAAATATTGATGTTTTTCTATTGCTTTTTTTACATCAATGGTAGATTACCGATGTTTTTGACCAAGTATTGAAATATTTATGTTTTCTGTATTAGGTTAACTTAAGTTAATTAACTTAGGCCTAATGGTTGCTGTACAGAGGGAAAACAAAAAAAAACATCAATTTTTTTGCAACGATGTTATCGGTAAACACCGATGAACTTATTGATGTTCATCCCTAGTTTTGATAATTAGGTTTAGGCCTAAATAATATAGATTTAAAAAATTATGTTGGTTATGAAGTCTTGTGGAATGCCTGCCACAAGGTGAATGCCTACCTCTATATCGTGAAATAACACTGGTACGGTAGCAAGATAACTTGACTAGAAACTATATTGTGTACTGTTTGTAATAGTTTTTATGGTTACCTAGGCCTAAGTTACTTAAGAAGTTATTAACTTAAAGTGTGTTGAATCACATCAATGTTGAATGAAACCCATTAGAATGAAGGTTATGTAATGTAGTAGCTTTACAGAACTTGTACTCATAAAAAACGCTAGCTTTGAATCTGGGGTGTAACTATAAATTAACTGATATTTTATTCATAAATAATTATACCCATGTCTAAAAATCGTAACACATCATTCCATTCCTCAGGTCTACAGACAGAATAACTTTTCTGACACAATAAATAAAACGTGTATATTTCGTCAATATTTCTATCTTACCTGTTTTCGTTTTCCTATTAAGTTTACACTATAGATTTTACAAAATAAATGCAATGATGAGATGAGTGCAACAGCATTGTTTGTATATTAATCACAAATTTAATTGGATTTGGAAAATTTGGAATTTTGGAGCAGACGGCCACGGCGGCGTAACGGCAGCTGAGCAGCAGACAAACAAAAGCAGAAGAGAGAAGAATCAGTACGTTTGAATTGAATTGAACCATTGGTGAAAAACGACCAATGACCAACAGCAGATTCCCGCTAAAATGCAAGCTGTCTGGGGAGAGAGCTCAGTTGAACCATAGACAAAAAGAATGAAATAACGAACGAGCTGACAAATTTTATTTTATATTTCTATAAATGCATTGAAACTATGCTGTATGGATTTGAGTTTATCTTTCAACGATATGTATATAGTAGAATCCTAAAGAGCTCATATTGTTTTACCTATGCTTATATCCAACCATGACGGGGCCGAGCTATGGTTGGAATATTAATATAGATGGGTCGGATATCGGGAGGAGCATATCTTGCGGTCTCTGAGTCACTAGTGTTTTCATAATCCTTTTGTCTATTTTTTTAGCCTTTTAATTATATGTCTTAACATGAGTTGGCAACACGCCACCGCACTTCCTCCATAATAAGAGAGGCCATTGTGCTATAGATTTTTATGAGGTCGACACACGAAAAGGTGCATCTTTTAAGCTGAAGATTTGTGAAGCATACCGGTATAAGATTTATTGAAAATATAACGTGTTGTTAGTGACTAAGATCAGCCATGACTCAGGACCTATCAGGGCCTGTTTGCAACTTTCCACGATTCTAGTGACTAGCGCCACGTAGTGCTTGACAATTACATGTTAAAAATCATGATTTTTTTTTGCTTTATTGTCGGAATTGTTAAAATAGATTAGCCGAGTATCCGTCCTTTGTACGGGGTTCCTTCCACCATGGGGTTAGCGTGTAAGTGTGATTTACTTTTATTGCTAAAGGTACTTGTAAAAATATAGCAGCTATCGCTGAGTAAGACCCATCAGGATTTATGAAATGGGTAGTCTAAGATTAGAAGTATGGATTGAGAAATTGTATAACTAAGCAAAATGTATACATTATATACCTATATATATATATATATATATATATCTAATATATAAAATTCTCGTGTCACAGTGTTTGTCTGCAAACTCCTCCGGAACGACTTCACCGATCGTTATGAAATTTGGTGTGTAAATTCTGTAGGTATGCGAATCGGACGTAAACTATTTCCCGTTTCGAAATTCTTAAAAGGGCTCCGCCCCAGTGGCTCTGGAGTTTCCCATGTTAACCTTATAAGAAATGGAATTAATGAATCTTAACAGCTGTTTCAATTAAACAAGTTGGTTCTGTTCTATGATGTTCAATAGCATTAAAGTTACAAGGATTACCAACAGGGTGCAGCACTATTATTTCTTTTACATTTATGACAACAGCTAATTTGCAACCAAAAGGTGAGTGAGCGTAGCGAACGAACTTCAACCTGGAGGCGAGTTAGCGTAGCGAACGAGCTAACCTGAAGGCAAGTGAGCGCAGCGAACGAGCTCCAACCTAAAGGTGAGTGAGCGTAGCGAACGAGCTCCAACCCAAAGGTGAGTGAGCGTAGCGAACGAACTTCAACCAGGACGTGATTGAGCGATGCGAACGAGATCATCTTGAAAATTAAACGTAACGGTACTTTCTTTCCATCGGTCTGTCTTAGGGGAAACCTATAACTTAGGCGATACGAAGTTCGCCGGGTCAGCTAGTATATATATATAATTATATTTTTCTGAAGTGTTTTTTGTCAGTGCGACACTGAAAAAATTAAGGTGAGTGCCCCATAAGAAAGTTGACTCTATTTCTCTTTCTCATGATAAAAGAGTTGGCTAATGGTTAACTTATTTTAGGTGAGACACCTTGTGTATGGGCTTTTAAAATCCAAGCAAGAACACTTTATTTGTGAACTAAAATTTGTGTATATTTCTTGTAGCAGCAAACTTAAAGTATTGTTGGTTATTGTTTATATGGGAGGATATAACTATAACAAATATTCATATTAAATTTTGTTATGTTATGAATCCTGAATGTATATTCAATTAGGCAATGAAAATTTGCCTATAGTATGTGGGTTTGAAACAACCATAGATTCATGATTCATATAAATAAGTTATAATCTATTATCTACAATAAGAAGAAATGTAACAATAGGCCATAAAGCTAATCCATAATACACTTAATTAAAGCAATTATTTAGTTCAATGAGTTTTATATAGGATCAGCTTTATGGAAAATTGTTTGTACAAATAGTTTGGTAAAATAAAAGTAAATCATGCCTTGATTTTTAAATAACAGAGTTGTATATTTTTCTTTAGATAGGTACACACTTTGTTTTATTTAACTATTTATTTTACAACCAACTCAATTAGGTGTGCATTAAACTAAAATTGAAGTATATTGCACCCACTTAAGGGTGAATTCTGAGCTGGACTATTTAACATACAAAAATAGAGGCCTACTTTAAAAAACGTATGCTATGGAATTCTATCAGGCTACTGCTACATAATATCAAGTACACTCATTTGTTATGTCTAAAATATGTTTATCACGTAAATATTGTTAAAATGTAATCACTGTAAGGTATATTTTACATTTTTTACCATGTTGTATATTAAAAAGTTATGTTGAACATTTTACGTTAAAATATCATATTTTTGTACTTTTTATCCAGTATACACAGGGTTTTTGTACTTTAAACAAATTAAAGTTATGATAGTAAAAAAAATTTGTGTTAATACCTCTGTATTCATGATATATAAGATCTGGACCGTTGCAAATAAATACCATACTGCAACAATCCAGATCGCATGAATGCAGGTATTTACATCAGTTTTTAGTATTCAAATATGACCAGGAGGCTGAAATTCAATAAAATTATGACTATTACAAAATTTTGAGTTTGATTAAAATTTAACATGACTTAATATAAGCTTGTAGAAGTTTGTACATTTAAAAAATTAAACTAGTTAACATATAACAATTAGAAAATATATAAAACAAAATTTACAATAACATTTTTGATGACTAATCAATGTTTCGTTGTTGTCAGTCTTGGTGGTGTGATTCTGATCATATTTGGTTTTTCATCTTCTTCCTCAAAACTCATCTGTGAATGGATGCATTCTAGAGAGTTGTTTTTCTTCTGCACTTTGGGGGATCTTGAGAGACGAGGAGATTTCGTGATAACTCGAGGAACCCTTTTGTTCATCTGCTTTTCTACCCACCTCAACATTGTCAGCACAGAGTCTGGACCCGCCAGTCTAGAGTCAGCTGCTGTCCGCACTGTGGGGGACGAGTCAACTCTGAAAGTGAATGCAATACCTTGCAAAGCCTGCATCGCATCTTCATTCCCTGCGTAAATGATCCTGACACGCTCGGACCAGTCTACTCCGTACATCGTCCGAAGGATGTGAATAGAAGCCCTGCCTTGATCCCACTTGACTGGAGGTTTAGCTTCGATCGCCATGTGCCCGAAATGTGGTTCAAACCCTGCTTTCTTAAAGATTTCACTGGCTCTGTTCACAATGTCCTCCCGAATAGCTGCAGGTGTCTCTCGGTAGTGGAAGGTCAGAAGGACTCCTTTGTTCTCCACCCAGGCTCCGTCGTGACAAACTTCATCTTGCAATAACCTCATTAGCTCTCGCAACTTTTCAGCGTACTCGTTGGGAACAGGATGAATGAATTTGGTTCCATCGGGATGCAGAATTTCTAAACCGTGACTTCCTGCATATGTAACTTTCTCGATATTGACCATGTTGCTGATGTTTTCCAAACTCCTTCCAGAAATGATAGAAATATTGACATCCGACATGTTTGAGAGTCGCTCTAGAACCCGTTTAGTTTCTTCGGACATTATGGCTAGGTCAGGATGAGAAGTGAGAGGAGTGAGGGTTCCGTCATAGTCGAGAATCATACTTAGCTTACAGACATCATCGATGTGGTTAATAAAATATGAATCAAAGTCTTCCAATGTCAAAGGCAACATTTTGTTAGTCAAAGGATCTTCTTCGTCATCATTGCACAAGGCTCCCATAGATGACAAGAAAGAGTTCATCCAGTGGTTAACGTTGTGTAAAGCTTCTCTATGGCGCAGTTGTGTCATTCTCAATTCTCTCTCATCAAATGGCATCTGCAAGGCTCTGTGGAGGGTTTCTGCAGATTCGTCAATCTCGTATGGGTTAGCTAGAAGAGCTTCGTGCATCATTCCTCCAGCTCCTGCGAATGGTGACAGTATGAGCACCCCAGGCTCTTTGATCTGACATGCGACGTATTCTTTTGCTACCAAGTTCATACCATCTCTGAGAGGTGTTACTAATGCTACAGCAGAGTCTCTGTACAATGATGCGAGCTGCTCTTGGCTAATGCATCCATAGATGTACCTGATGGGTGCCCAGTTAGGCTTAGAGAACTTTCCGTTAATTCTTCCTATCAGCTGATCCATTTCTTCTTTCAACTGTTTGTATTCTCTCACATTGGTTCTTGATGGGACGGCTATTTGAAGGAGTGTAACATTTTCTATGTATTCTGGGTGTTTTTCCAATAACCTCTCAAATGCTCTGATTCGATGAACGAGACCTGAAAAAGATGAAAGTTAATTAAAACCTGGCCCAACAATAAACAGTGTTGGGCAGTTATTTACACGATTCTATAGCTGAAGGATGCTAGAGATCATACTGTCCTACAGTAACTTTACTAGGAGAAAATGAAAGTGCAAATCATCCAGTAGCATCTCAAATGATACTTTACTACTGGAACTTTTGCACTTCTTAATAAAATGGCAACACAATACGTCTTGGCGGTGCTTGATTTGTAAAAAATGAGGTGCCGGAACTGTAACCTATTTAATTTGATAAGAAATTTATATACCTATTTATGCCAATATTTTTATCTTTCTGAAAGAGAGTTACCGGTACTCTGTTCCACCGCGTTCCCCCCCAAATCAAGCACTGGACACACTCTCAAAATTTGATGGAATTCACACTGTTTTCGCAGTCTCCTGAATGTTTGGACTAGCAAAATCAATATTAGTTTTTTTCATTCAATAGAAA